TATTTATATATTTTATATATATGTATATATGAAAAATATATAAAAATGCATGTGGGTACTCAAATGAAAGCTCTTGATAAATGTAACATCGGGATGAGCTTATATCTTTAAAAACATCAACAGTTAAGAAAGTACAGTGCAATTTAACAAATATCTTGTGAACTATTGACATTTTAACGATATAAGCTCACCCTAACATTACACTCATCGAGACCTTTCATTTGAGTACCCACATTAATTTTTCATATATTTATATATATTATATATATGTATATATGAAAAATATATAAAAATGCATGTGGGTACTCAAATGAAAGGTCTTGATGAATGTAACATCGGGATGAGCTTATATCTTTAAAAACGTCAATAGTTGAAAAAATACAGTGCAATTTAACAAAAGTCATTATTTAATGAAGCAAAATTTTATTCATTTATAGTTCGCTAGTCACAGCAGTCACATAGTCACTGCAAGGTTGCTAGTTTGTAATGAAATTTTTATTAACGTTTCAAATTTAATTAAACAGGTTGCTGAGGTATTCACTGGACACCCTGGCAAATTGGTACCACTTGCCGAAACCATCAAAGGATTCCAAAAGATCTTGGCTGGAGAACTCGATCACTTCCCCGAGGTCGCATTCTACATGGTTGGACCCATTGAAGAAGTCGCTGCCAAGGCAGAGACGCTCGCCAAGTCATAAGCTGTTTATTTAATGATAATAATAATAATAATAATTAATAACACATTATTATAAATAAATAAATAAATGATTTATGGTAATAACGTTCCAGCCTGTTGGACGTTATGGCGAGAACCAATTAATTTAATAAATAAGTAAACAGTTGAACAATTTAAAAATTTTTAATTTGAGCATCTTAATTCGAGAGCGGATCTTCCTCAAAAATCTTCTTCTGGTTCTCGGAATGTAGTTGAACTTGTACCGTAGTTCAATTAAGAATTGTTTTTATTGCGGAAGATTTTGAAGCTCTGATTTATTTTGTTTATAAAAAGTAAACTCAACGTTAAAATCCGTAATTAAATAGAAATGTTTTTACGATTGTAAAATTATCAATTATTAATAATCAACCATCGTCAGTACCATTGTCAGTTTATTAACTGATATTGTATATTAGTAAAAAACAAATTAATAAAAAAAAAAAAAAAACTCAAAAACCATAATAAGAATTTATTTTATTGATTTATTGAATTTTAATTAAGTAATTAAATTTTTTTTTAACAAATGTAAAAATAATTTTTGAGAACTGCTTTTTTAAATGCTAATAAAAAATTTTTTTTGAGAATGTTAACTTTTAGGAACTTCATGCTAGATAAATTTTTTGAAAATATAAATTTTTTTTTTTTTTAATTAAGTAAGAAGATGAATCAGTCGAAGTCAATCATTGGACGAGAGACACGGTACTTGTCCTTCAATGCCTAAAAATAGAAACCCAAAATTAATAAATTATTATTTGCCAATTTTTTTTTAATTCTTAAAAAAAAAAATATTTATTTACCCGCCAGGTTTCCATGTCTAAATAATGCACATTTTGGTGATGAGCTACGCAATTTTTGTTAGCCTCGTATTCTTCTATCTGAGCTTTGGTTGAAGGGATGATGGTCAAATTTTCACCTCCGTCTGAAATTCATTAATAAATAAAAAATAAGTAATGAATTATCTATAATATTAATAGAATAAGCTATATTCAAAAATGCTCTATCTCCAGATACATAATTTAGAAATGACCTTGTATCTTGTAAACTATTGACATTATTAAAGATATAAGCTCATCCCGATGTTACACTCATCAAGACCTTTCATTTGAGTACCCACATCAATTTTTCATATATTTGTATATATTATATATATGTATATATGAAAAATATATAAAAATGCATGTGGGTACTCAAATGAAAGCTCTTGATGAGTGTAACATCGAGATGAGCTTATTATATCTTTAAAAACGTCAATAGTTCAGAAACTAGAGTGCAATTGAACAAAAGTCTTAAAATTACTTAATAAAGCAAAATTTTATTTATTTATAGTTCACAAGTCACGGCAGTCACATAGTCACTGCAAGGTTGCTAGTACTTACGAGTTTAATTTTATTGAACCTTTGCTAAAATAAAACTCGATAGTTATGTAACTGCATTACCTAATATTTATATTTTTAAGTTTCTAATGACAATTATTCAATTGAGGATCTAGGATAGAACCAGATTTAAGAGCCAGCAATTGAAATGTTGATAATTATTGACCAGGTTAAAATCAATGCAGTTACCACCTGAGACCGTCGAAATAATAATTGATAAATAATAATAATAATAATAATCTTGGGAGAAATTACCAGTTCTAAATCGAATGAATCCGTCTTTGGCGAGGAAAGCGACGTGGAGCATATTTTCAATGGTTTTTCCAAAGTCACCGGGATCGAGGATGAGCTTGAAATAATCAATAGGCTGCTGCTTCCCGTTGTCTTTATAAACTTTCCTGATGAGCTTGCGAAGATTATCAAGAATCGGTTTGTTGCCGTCGTTGTCAGCGTCGCCCTCGACTTGGATAACGTTATCGGGACGCGTGGTGGTCACATTCGGGTCGTTCAATCTCGTGCGATTCATTTTCGCGGCATGCTGTTCGGCGTAGGCATTGCGCCTCTGGCTGCTCAGTATATTTTCAGTCTTAACCGAGCCCTTGGGTCTTGCTTCGTCGTTGCTTCCGCTGTCATTCAAACTGTTGTCGCCGCTGCCGTTCTTGTCGCGCTTGTTTCTCCTCTCACCGACGCGCATTATCTTGTTCAGCAGGTTCACGTAAGTCGCGGTGGCTTTGAACGCCGGAACATCCTTCCGCAGCATCGACCAGTTGACATCCGCGACCGTCGTGTCCGGCAATTGCTGGACGTACTCCATCTGATTAAATTTAAATAAATTAGACCAACGAGTCGACTGTTTATCTTAGCAGAGACCAAGACTTACCAATTTATGAGCAAACTCCATGCTGCTGAACGTGTTGTACTCCTTGGTCAGGACTTGGGTGCAAGACTTTATGACTTTTGACGACACGCTCATCAATTCCGAGTCCATCACCACTTCATCCTGATTGCTGACTGTTCAACAGATAATTCATTTTTATTTTTTTCTAATTCAGATTTTTTTTTTACAGGACGCAAATATGCAGCAGCCAAACTAGCGCTTATATAACTGGCGCAATTAAAAATTAACAACAGTGTCATCCAATCTTTAAAATTATAAAATTAAGACATGATGCTGAAGCTTAGCTGACAACTGTCATTTTTTTTTAATTTTTATAAAAAGTCTTTATATTGTTTTTTAATTTTCACAAGTGGAATTTTTTAATTAAATTTTTTTCATAATAATTTTATTGCTATAAAATTGTAAAAAAATTATTTAATAATTTTCAGAGATTTATAACAAATAAATTGTGGCAAAAAAAAAACTAAAAAACAAAATTGCCATGGAGAAATTTGAAAAAATAAAAAATGCCAATTTTTTAAAATCAATTTTCTAGACCTGTTTAATTGAAAATAATTAATTTAATCTATATTGAATATTTTGTAAAATTTTGTAACAAAAAAATTATCGAAAAAAAACTAATAAACAAAATTAACATGTAGAAATCTTAAAAAATAAAAAATGTAATTTTTTAAAAATAATTTGGTTGTTAAATAAAATTAAACAATGCCAAAATGACTGCTAACTTTATAATACTAAAGTTAGCCGACGTTTCTAATTTTTTTTTTTAATTATTAAATTAAAAGTAAATAATATTTTTTTTTTATTTTTTTGTAATAACTTCTTTGATAAAAAAAAATTCTAAAAATATTTAGATGTCGGCTAACTTAATTTTCATGCTATTTTTAATGCTATTTTTATTATTTCAAAATAAAAAAAATTGTTTTCTGCTAATTTTAGTGATAAATTTTTAATATTAATTAACTTAAGTGTATTAATAAAAAATAATTATTACTTTTTTCCTCCATAGAAATGTCATCATGAATTTGATCTGCTTCCTGGAAAACATTTTCCAAGATTCCAAGTGTTGCATTCGAATTAGCATGATTTTCTAAAAGAAAAAAATTAATTTAATAATTTTAACAATGATAATAATTATATTAATTACAAAATAATAATTATACATACGTAAGCTTTGTGTTTTATCTAAAACACTTCGTAGTGCCTGTTTACGCGCCGTAGGAGTTCCAAAATTGCTTCGTCTAGACGATGACGAGGTTTGAGAGCCTTCTGGGCTCATTAATTCCGGTGAACTCATCTTATTTTTAATTAATCAGCAGATAAATTAAATTAAATTATTAATTAATACTAATTATGAACTTTATTGCCGTCAATTGTTTTTTATAAATTATCTAGGTTAGATTTGAGCATTAGCGCGGGTCTTTTGTTCTGCGCATAAAAAAATGACAGCTGAAATTTTAGCGCGGGAAAATTCAAAATTTAAATTAAAAATTATTTTTATTTAAAAAAAGGAATAATTAATTTTTTTTATTATTTAATTAATAATTTATGAAAAATTAGATTGAGAAAAATTTTTTTTAGCGAATAAAATTTTGTAATTTAAAACATTAATTTTTGTTTAGTTGGAGGTGGGATGACGTCACTTTGAAATGACAAAGAATTTCTAACCAAAAAATTCTCGGAGATAAATATTGTAATGTCTAAACTTGTTGTTGTGACAAATGTTTGGTAGAAAATAAATGTCTGGAGGATTTATAGAGCCATGAATTCGTCAAACAAGGTGAGTTTTATTGGATTATATTTTTAAAGTGAATTTATTTATTTACATCTAGTAGAGGTTAAAGGCGTTAATCGTTTCAAGATAATGACATTAAAATTAGCAGTCACTTGACTATTTATTTTTTAATTTTTTTTATTATCCAGATCTAGAAAATTGATTTTAAAAAATTGCATTTTTTATTTTTTTTATTTTGTACATGTCAATTTTTTTTTTTTCATAATTTATTTGCTATAAAACTCTTAAAATTATTCATTTCTATTATGAATATATTATTTCTAATCTTTAAGACCTTTAGATCAAAAAAATTTTTAATTTTTATTCCAAGTAGAACATTTTTTCATTGAAAAAAAAAGTGCCACTAATAGAGGGCTTATTGATGAACATTAATGTAACATATATTTAATAATTTTACAACAAATAAATTATGGCAAAAAAAAATTGACATTTACAAATTTAAAAAAATAAAAAATGCAATTTTTTAAAAATAATTTTTTAGAAAAAATCTTTTTGTTAAGTAAAATTAAAAAATTGTCAAGTGACAGCTAACTAGAATGTCATATGACATTAAAGTTAGCAGTCACTAGAGAATTTGTTAATTTTTTTTTAACAAACAAAGTTGTTAAAAAAAATTATTTTTAAAAAATTACATTTTTTATTTTTTTAAATTTCTACATGTCAATTTTTTTTTCTAATTTTCTTGCCATAGTTTATTTAAAAAAAAAAATTCTAAAAATTATTAAATATATGCTAAATTAATTTCCATTAATTTTTTTTATAAATTTATAGCAATAAAATTCTTATGAAAAAAATTTAATTAATGTCTAATGTCTGTCCACTTTAGTGTCAAAATATTTTTAAAAGCTTATTTATTAATTTGTATTTATGACATTTAAGTTAGCAGTCACCTGACAATTTTTTTTTATTTTATTTAACAAACAAGTTTGTTCCAAAAAATTACATTTTTAATTTAACAAAATTTCAATTTTCTTGTCATCAATTATTTGTTAGAAAAAATTGTTAAAATTCTCAAATATCTGCTAAATTAATTTTCATTACAGGATGACCAGAGTCAAGACGACCAAGATGCTGATCTGGATGAAATTGAACCGCGGCTGAAGTATGTAAGGATGCAGAATGATATCAAGAATATTTTACAAAATGACGCTGCTTCTTGTATCGCAGTCCATCCTAAGGTATGTTTATTTGTCGCACTGATAATTTCTTTATTTTTATTTTTTCCGAGCTAATCATTAATTTACACACACCTGGTTATTTTTAGAATTGTCAAAAATTGAATTTTTTATAAAAAAAATATAAATACAAATTAATAAATAAATTCTTATAAATATTTTGACACTGAAGTTGACAGACATTAGAAATTTTTTCACAATTTTATAGCAATGAAATATGATGATACTGACAATTATTCAAATTTTTATAACAAATAAATTATTATAGAAAGAATATTTTTAAAAATTCAAACTTATAATTTTTTTAAATTTCTACATGTGAAATTTTTTCGCTAAATTTATTTTTTTACAATTAAATTGTTATAACAATTTAAAAAATTGTTAGATGTCTGTTACATTCAGAATCATGAAATATGACACTAAAATTAGCAGACACTTGAAAATTTTTAATCATTTTAAATCAATAAAAATAATGAGTAGAAAGTATTTTTAAAAAATTGCCCTTAATTTTTTTTTAATTTTCTTTATGTCAAATTTTTTCTTTCATTTTTTTTAAAATAGTTATTTTTTAATAAAAAAATTCTTAAAATTTTTGGATATCGGACAACTTAATTTTCATCAATGAAAAACATGTAATAATAAAATTAAACACTTTAAAAAATTATAAGGGGAAATTTTTAGAAGCATTTTTATTATCATAAATAATTTATTGTATAAATTTGAAAAATTGAGAGCTGTTAGCTAACTTCAGTATCATATTTTTGAAGATCTAGAAATTCGCAGATATCTGACAATTATTTGAATTTTTATAACCAATCAATTATTATAAAAAAAATTTTTTTTTTAATTTCCGCACGGAATTGTTTAGTTAATTTTTTTTTCATTACAATTTAATTGTTATAAAAGCCTAAAAAATTGTTAGATATTCGTTAAAGTTTCATAATTTTTGACTCTAAAGAGAAATTATTACAAATTTTTTAAAATACAAAAAACAAAGCCAAAAAATTTCCTAAAAATCCGCCCAGTAGTTCCAAGCACAACGCCCTTAATTGTAAACTTATCCTAAATTTTCTTGACCCATCTCATCCTTGGATTATAGTTTCTTTGCCTGGGCTCGCACATGGGTAAAATCCACCTGCTCGACCACCAGGGCAACAACATCCAGTCAAAAACATTGCAAGCCCACTCTTTAACAGTAAACCAGATCTCAATAGACCAAAACGGAGATTACATAGCTTCTTGCTGCGACAAAGGTAAAATCTTTATCTACGGCCTGTACACCCGTGAGAACAACAACATAATAAACCTCGAGCGTCAAATAAAAAGTATCGCCCTAGACCCCGCGTTTTCCAAATCGGGAACCTCCAAGCGCTTCATAACCGGGGACGACAAGCTGATGCTCTACGAAAAGACCTTTTTATCCCGCTTGAAACTTACCGTTTTAAGCGAAGCCGAAGGCGGAGTGAGATCAGTAGCTTGGGCCGGACAATTCGTAGCCTGGGCCTCTGACACCGGAGTCAGGTTGTACGACCTCAACGCCCGTTGTTCCCTAGGCTTAATGAAATGGCCTCGAACCCCCGAAGCGCCTCCCGAAAACTACCGATGTAACCTCCGCTGGAACGGGGACCGAACCCTGCTGATAGGTTGGGTGGACACTGTCCGAATTTGCCAAATCCGCAAGCGCTCCCACCAGGAAATGGTCAACAGAAACCTCCCTGAGTTTGCAGTAGACCCAATCTCTACCTTCCAGGTCGACTTCTACATATCCGGAATCGCGCCCTTAGAAAACCAGCTGGTTCTCCTTGGATGCCTCAAAGAGCTGAGCGACAAGGGAACCAGCCAAAGACCCACCCTTCATGTGGTAGAACCCAAGTACCAGGATTTCGTGGACGTATCCGCAAATTTTCTAGGATTGAGAGGCTACGAAGCCTATAACTGCAACGACTACCACCTGGATTGTCTTCCAGATGAAAACCGGTTCTTCATAGTCTCCCCTAAAGACATAGTAGTCGCAAGTCTCTACGACGCAGACGACCGAATTGAGTGGTTGCTCAGCCACAAGAAATTCGAACAAGCTTTAGAAGCTGTTACTGTAAACAGCGGCAGGGATTGCAAGAGACACACTCTAATTTACGTTGGCAGGGTCTACCTAGATCACTTACTGGCTTGTGGAAAGTACGACGAGGCAGGAAAACTCTGCCTAAAAGTCCTGGGTCGGGACAAGAAGCTCTGGGAGGAAGAGGTCTATAAATTCGCTAGGGTCCACCAGTTAAGGTCTATCTCTTCTTACCTTCCCAGAGGAGACGTTACCTTGGATCCTCTAGTTTATGAAATGGTACTTTACGAATATCTGAAGATGGACCCTGATGGGTTTCTTCAATTGGTCAAAGAATGGCCTGCTAAACTGTACACAGTAGCGGCAGTGGTTAACGGAGTGCTAGAGCATCTCCTGGTTCACAATACCCGGCAAAATGTCTTGCTGGAGGCCCTGGCTATTCTGTATAGCCACGACGGAAAGTATGACAAAGCTTTGGCAATGTACCTAAAGTTAAGGCACAAAGATGTTTTTCAGTTGATCCAAAAGCACCAATTGTACAACGCGGTTTATGACATGATAGAAGGTCTGATGGACCTGGACGCTGATCGGGCGATCCAGTTTTTCCTGGAGAAAGATAGAGTCCCGTCGGAGGTAGTTGTTGCCAAGTTGCAGAACAATCCGAGGTATCTGTACTTGTACTTGGACGCTTTGGATAAAAGGGATACTAAAGATTCTAAGGGAAAGTATCATGGTCTGCTGATCAGGCTGTACGCGGACTACTCCAGGGATAAGTTACTGCCTTTGTTGAGGAGGTCAGACAACTATCCGATCCAGTCCGCGTTGGATATTTGTAGCCAAAGACAGTTTTATCCCGAAATGGTGTATCTGTTAGGGAGAATTGGAAATACTTCGGAAGCTTTGGGGTTGATGACTCGCGAGCTTAATGATATGGAATCTGCAATTGCATTTTGCCAGGAGCATGATGATGAAGAGTTGTGGAATGATCTTATTAATTATTCGTTGAGCAATCCGGAGAATATTACCTTCTTGCTGCAGAAGATTGGGACTTATGTTGATCCGAGATTGATGGTCCAGCGAATTGCTCCGGGAATGGAGATTCCTGGGCTGAAGAAAGCTCTGGTTAAGATGATGTGCGATTATAGACTTCAGGTGTCGGTTCAGGAGGGATGTAAAAAGATTCTTTCTAATGATTACTTCAATTTGCACGAGCGGCTGGTTAAAGCGCATCAGAAAGGACTGTTTGTTGATGATGATCAGATGTGCGGAGCTTGCCACAGAAAGGTTATTGTTAGGGATCCGAGGAATCTAGTCGTTTTTTACTGCAAACATTTGTTTCATGAAGATTGTTTGCCGGATTTTGAACAGATTGAAAACTGTGTCATTTGTAATCCGCAGAAGGATAAAGTTATTAGTTAAGCGGCGAGTTTGTTAAAGTTTTGCACTGAAGGAAATTTTCTTTAAAAATTCACGGTAATTGTTCCTGTTGTCACTGATAGAAAATTTATGTTGACTCAAGAGATATTTTCTTGATCTAAAAATTTATTTTGGAAGACAAATGATTATTTTGCTTCAAGAATTTCTTGTCTTGGTTTAGATTTTCTTGGCTTAAAAAATTAAAAAAATTTTTTTATAGATTTTCGATTTAACATAATTGTAAAAATATAGTAATATAATAATTAAATATAATTTATTATAATTAAATGTTATCACATAAATTTATAGAAATTCACATAGTAAATTAATGACTAAAAAAAAAAGCCATTCTTAACACAAGTCGGTAATATCTTGGATCATGTTATCGCCTATCTTGAACCAAGAGACAAAAATTCTTGAATGAAATATATCTACATCTAGTCTCAAGAGTTTATTTTTTGAATTAAGACAGCTAGAAATTTTGAAATAAAAATCAATTTTTATTTAAAAAATGGTAATAAAGAAAAGGGCCACATTATGTACCACGATTACAGTGAATTTAACGGTAATTTTTAAAGAAAATTTCTTTCCGTGTGTGTCGACAAGATGGCCGGATAGTTGGAATTAAATGGCGGAGGCGGGAAAATTTTTAAATTTGAATGGAATGTAGTTTACTTTTGTAAATGAAAAATGTTAAAAATGTGAGCAATATAGATGGAAAAATTTTATGGAACGTTATGTTCGTCTTACTGCCGTGCTTTACTAGATGATTTGTTATTGTAAGCGCTAATTATGGATTATTTTGATTGTCGGGCCAATTGCAACAAAAAGAAACGCCATTTGGAGGAAAATTAATGAATTTGCATGATTTTTTGTAAGTATAAATATTTTTTTATTGCTGAAATTCATTAGTTAGCGCAACCCGACAAAATGGCGTCCTTAGTAGCAATTATCATAAGTATTATGCGAGTTTCGTATGTTTCTTTTTTGAATTTTCATACAAATTTTTTTCTGAACAATTATGTGAGCTTTTTTGATTTTTTTTTTATATTTTAAATTGAAAACAATTGTTATAATTACGTTTATAAAACAATGTACATGTCAATATAGGAGTCTTCATGTTCTATCATGATAAACTTGGGTTCGATTCTCGGCGTCGGTAAAATAATAAAATTAATAAATTGTAATAAAAAAAAAATTATATCTTAGAATGATGAAAAATTTACAAATTTATTATTCATAAAAAAAATATTTAGGGTTTGATTTTAAAAAAATCTGCAAAAAATTAATTTAAGCGGGAAAAATTTAATTTTTTAAATTATAAATCTTTAATTATAAGAATTAAAATTGTTTAATTGTAAACAAATAAAAAATAGAAAATTATAAATTTGTATGAATGTGAATTTTATAAAATACAAGAACAATTTTTTATATTGTATATAAAATACTATGTACAATAAATAACTTTAAGGCTTTAATTACATTAATTATCTGTAAGTGTGAGTTAGATTAATTTATTCCTTTGATAAATTATTTTTTTACGCTAAACTACTTACTGCTTTGTTTTGTAACTGCGTATGAAATGACTATATATAAATATATATATTAATATAAATGTAAACTGATGAATTGTACATATTATTATTTGTAGAAAATTTATATAAAATATAATAATTAAATAAACTTATTTATACTTAATTGATTAACTGTTATTAATAAATACCTTTTTTGCATTATCAAAAATTTATTATAATTGTAAGATTATTTTTTAATAAAATTTACGACAAATAAAATAATAATGAATAGAATGCGCGTCTTTCTAAGTTTTAAGATAACGTTTGAAAATAATTTTATCGCAAAGTTTCAAGGTTAGTTACGTAATTGATGTTTTACTATTTTTATTTAAATTAAATAAATAAATACATAAAATAAATTGATTTGATGGTCATCACGCTTATACGAATTTAATCTACGCATTCCGTAACAAAATTATCACTATTATCTACCAATTTTCGGCATCACACAACAGAAAACCAAAATTTACCTCGGTGGACTTTAATATCGACGAATTTTTGTATCGATTTTCGTCTCTGACCGATTTTTATCTCTACTCAGGAAATTTCGATTTGTTACTGTAAAGGCCATCAAAGTCTAGTGTAAAATCTCATCTAGTCAATTAAAGTCCACCCACAAAATTAATCAAGCATGTTACGGATTAATTTTTGTTAATTAGAAGCTATTGAATGAATTTACGCAGAAACAGTAATCATTGCTGAAAACAGTCATTCAGTCAAAATTTTACTATGCGCGATCAAAAGTAATGTAGGTATTACTTTGCTGTATGGTACTCAGTCCATGAATATAAAAATAATGTAAATAATGATATGTCATGATGTAAATTTTACTATATTTATAGTACTGAGTCCTGTGCTGTCCAGTACTCAATTTCAAGTAATTTATACTTTTATTTTTAGTAAGTTAGCCAGCGTTGGACTCGAGTTAGCCCCAAGCAGCACAGTAATGGTTACATTACTGTATAGTTCGCGTTACCTTTCTCAAATGTAACCGCTACCAGACTATGACGTCTTATGTTCATGAGACGGCTAATATATTGAACGATTATCTATTCTTATTAACTTTTATAGTAAAAATAAAAAAACTATCAAATATTAATTACTTATATTACCGTCAACTTGGTAGTTAAAACTGTAACTTGAAACTGATTTTATATAAACTAATTTTTTTTAACTATTAGAAAATTATTTGATTTTTTTTCTGATAAAAATTATTTGTTTTTATTTAAAAATTTTAATTGTAATTTTTTAATTTATTCAATTTATTATCCTAATTTAATTTAATATGTCCATTACCTGAAAACAGGCCTTTAAACTAAGCTCAGTAGGACTGAGTAGTTTTTTAAATGCCATACGTTTTACACAGTATAGTAATAGGTTACATTGCTGGCCGTCTATATTTACTTTTTGATAAAGTATCAATTACTTTACTTTTAAAGTGATACCAAACAAAAATTAACGTTACTGCTGCCAAGTAATCAGTAGTCAGCTCGTGTAGTAATAATAATTATACTTTTCACTTGAAATTTTAACAAGAGTTGTTTAATAAGGATTTAGTGTTTTAAAGTAATAAAGTTATAGAAAATTTATTAAATTTTTAAATTCAATATTAATTTGTGAATAAATAATAAATTTAAATTATTCAAACAATCACGGGGGTCGATAGTGAACATCAGGTATAAAAAAATTTTGTAATTTTCAGGTATGTTATTTTACTGCGAAATAAAATTTTTTAGGTAAATTTTTGATTGTAAATTTATTTACGATAGTAATAGATTATTTAAGTGTGATCATTAAGTGTCTTCTTCGACTCTTGCAAGAGGCTCGGGGAAATTCCCATAATTAGTCTGGGGCCTAGGTACATTAAAGAGATTAAATAGATAAAAGTAGAGAGGACTCATGCGACATTTTTGAACAAGCTTAAGAGAGAGGGTAAGGGCTCAAGAAAATTGACAAATAATTAGATATTGTTTCCTCCAATTAGTGAAAATTAGTAACGCCCCAAAATTCAATTCCTTTACGATTTTTGCCTAGAATCTCTCTTGTTGTCCTAGACGTCTTAGTGTTAACGTCGTCTAAAGGTTTTATTAAGGTTTTTGAAACCACGTGTAGAAGTAAAATTAAATTGTTTTGTAAAGTGAATTTAAGTTACGTAAAGAATACCAACGAATAATATCAACAAATCAGGTACAATTTTAATTATTAACATTTTTACATTTAGTTATATTGAAAACTCACCATACGAAAGGAAATATTAACTTTTAATCGCTGTGTAATAACTGTAATTAATAAATTAAATAATTAATAAATCAATAAATTAATTTTTTTTAGATAACAAAAATTTTTCAAATCTTAAAAAAAGTAAGAGCGCAAAATTTTAAAAATTTTATTAAAAAATTTAGAAATTGCTAACTTAATTTTTCGATTTTTTTTGTCGAAAAAATTAAAAGAATTTTTTTTTTTTTTTTGTAGTGACCATATTGTGTAATTAGAATTGTTAATAAATAAAAATACTAATCCATAATTTTCTTCGAAAAATTAAAATTTACTAATGCTTTATAATTATGATGCAATATTAATCAGCTTCGGGTTATCAAGTTTGCGTCAAGGCCTTGATAATTATGTTCCTTCGATAAACTTAGATGACAATCTTCTTGATATTAAAATTAATAATCTGACATTTTTTTTTTTAAATAAAAATTAATAAATTTAAATAATAATTCCAAAAACTTTTTCTTCCATTCAAATTTTTATTTCTTCTTGAGTAATAAATAATTTTTAAACAACAAAACAAGATAATTAAGCTTGGTACTAAAATTGATATGAACAAGATTAAAAATTTTCTTAATAATAAATTTTTTATTTTTTATAAAATTTTAAAAAAGAAGAAATAAAGCAAAGAAATTTTTTAAGAAAATAAATTCGTAAATTTAAAGTAAAATCTTATCTAAAAATAAATTTAAAAACACAAGTTTAATATAAAACTCGGCTGTGAGCAATGAATATCAACAAAAAGTAATTATCATTGAATTCACGTGTTCCGCATTTATTAAAATAAAACTTTAAATCTTACACCGGGAAGGGGAGAAGAGAAAACAAGCTAGTCGTTAATAAAAACGCGGTGTTGATCGCGAGCCGGTTTTACTTGACTTAACTTATCAGTCAAGTTCATGTTCAGTCTGTCGCGTTAGTTAATAGTTGTTAGCAGTAAGTTATTAAATTGAGTTGTTGTCTATTCTTAATTGCGCAGCATCTATAATTTTAATTTAAATAATTATTTTGTTCTCTATAAATAGTCTGACTTGCTGGTGGTTATTTTTGTACCAAGTTTGATAATAACCGTAAAGTATGGATGCCTTCAAGAAAGGATGGTTCAGTGAGTTCAACGATTTATGGCCTGGTATCAGTGTTTCTTTTGAAGTTACTAAAATTTTGCATCATGAAAAATCACAGTTTCAAGATATTCTGCTAGTTGATACGTAAGTTTATTTTTTATATAAAATTCTAATGTTTTCTCTCATTTTTTTTTTTTATGCTAATTGTTAGACTCAAGATTTTTGTCGAAAATATTATAGTGTTGTAAAAATTTTTTTTGAACAAAAGTTGTTTAAAATTTAATTATAATTTTTTTATACGAGCAATATTTTCACTGCAATTTAAAAAGTAAGATTCATAGTTATCACAAAATTTGAACCTTTTATTATGAATCTTAATTTTGAATTGATAAATTAACTTCTGTTTCATAAATTTTTTATAGGACCAATATTTTCGCAGTAATATTAAAAGTTTGAATGATTTATTTTAAAATTGCGGCAAAAATTTTGACTATCCATTAAATTTTAATTGCATTAACCGTGATATTAATTTTAAAATTTGATAATATCTTCTTAAAACTACTTTTAAGTCTTCATAAGATTTCAAAAAATTTAAATAAATTTTCAATAAAATTTTATTTTTAAGCACAGTTGACACTGTTAAATTGTTAAAATAATTTCTTGTATTAAAATTTAAAATTCACAATGAATATTATTAAATTTTTTCAAAATAAATTTTTTATTTTTTTTTTTTTATATTTAAAATGAATTTTGTAATTTTTAATAAGAAAATTCCTAACTTAAATAAATAAATCTTACTTCAAAAAAATATAATAAAAATTTTTTGATAAAACTTAAAAATTTTCTAGAACCCAAAACAAGTTTTATAAAATTAATATTTCTTCAATAATTATTATTATTTAATTTCTGAAGAAAATATCAATTTCTCTAAACCAAAAAATTAATTTTTACATCAATAATTACAATCTTAAAAATAAAAATAAAAATAAAAAGAAAGATACACGATTTTTTATTTTACAGAAAAGCCCACGGAAGACTATTGGTCCTCGATGGAATAATCCAGTGTTCCGAGAGCGATGAATTTTCATACCAAGAAATGATTTCTTTTTTACCACTGTGCTCTCATCCGAATCCCAAAAATGTAAGTGTGTATTTTTAAACTATCAATTATGATTAAGAATATAAATTAGAAATTAAAATAATTTGATAAATTTCCTTACAGGTTCTGATAGTCGGTGGAGGTGACGGTGGAGTAGCCAGAGAAGTAGTCAAACACCCAGGAGTCGAGCATGTAACTCAGGTAGAAATTGACGGACGTGTTTTGGAATTATCACGTCAATACTTACCTTCTTTAGCCTGTGGGCTGTCGCATCCCAAAGTAACTCTCTACGTTGGTGACGGGTTTGAATTTATGAAGAAACATTCTCAGCAATTCGATGTTATCATTACTGATAGCAGTGATCCTATTGGTAAGATTAATTTATATTTATTGATAAAGTAATGAAAAATACGAATTTTTTTTTTTTAAATAAATTTTATGTGAATTAAGAACAATTTTACAATTAAAAAAGTTTTCAAATTAAATTATTTTTTCTTCATTTTACATTATTTATTTATTTATTTATTTATTATTTCATTTCAATGCCAAGGCAGTATAGCCAGATGGCAAAAGTATACAAAAAGAGTTATAATAAAGTACACGTAAGTCTAATGAAGATATAAAGTTTAGAAAAAATTAGATATCTATTAGTTTAGAAAATATTAGATATAAAAATTGATTATTTTTTATGAAATATTATTTTCTTAATTTGGAATACAAATTTGACAAATAAAACAAAGAAAATAAATTTGAGGATAAAAAAATTGAGTATTAAAAATTTAAAAAAATTTAACAGTTTAACTCAGTGATACAAAAAATAGAAATTATAGAAAATGATAATCTGAGATGATCTAGAACAATAAACTTATGTAAACAGAAATGTGAAAAAGAATATAAACGGTTTGAAAATTAGGATTCATTTTCTTCTTTAAAAGTTAGAAATTAAGGTTCATTTTTTCGTTCACGTTTCATGAAGAATTCAAAAGTACTGATTTTAAAAGAATTTAAGCTAAGTGAATTTGTGACTTCAAATGGTAAGTCCCTCCAAATTCGGATCGCAGAAACTACGAAGGAATGTTCAAAAGTAGTAGTTGAGAAATTGGGCATTTTAAAAGACACATTAATTTGTTTAGCAGCAATTCTTTCCGATCTTCTAATATCTGTAGATTCTTCAATGAAGAGACTTCTAAGGAACTTTGGTTCACCTGATTTCAGAAGCTTGTAGATGAAGCACGCTAACGAGTACATTCGTTTAGATTTAACCGTGAGCCAGTTTAATGAGTGTCTGTAGGGAGTGATATGCTCATCTCGTCTTAAATTAAAGATGAATCTGATGGTGTTGTTTATTAGACGTTGAAGTTTGTAGTCTAGCCTTTTGGATAAGTCAATCAAAACTAAGGAACAGTATTCAACAATTAGAATTATAGTATAGTAGTCATGACTAGTAGTTTACGTGTTGAAGTAGAGAGTATGTTTCTTCTGTGTTTTAGACAATTTAATGTACCATAAACTTTACGAGTGATGTGACCTACATGGATATCCCAAGAGAGATTATTTGTTAGGTGTATGCCCAAATGTTTGGTTGAGTTTATATAAGGTATAATATTACCATCAATGATAATTTGAGGCAGATCCCAGTTGTTCAGATTTCTTAGTTTTTTATTGCTCCCAAGTATCATAACTTTAGTTTTACTAAAGTTTACTTCAAGACCGACTTCTTTTGTCCAGTCAACTACCGCATTTCCATCAGACATAAGTTTGTTTGCTGCATCATTCATTTGAGAATGCTTAAAATGAAGATAAGCATATTTGTCGTCGGCAAAGAGTCCATGCTTCGAGTATTGTAACCGTTTAGTCACATCATTTATAACAATTAGAAACAGGATCGGTCCTAGGATAGATCCTTGAGGAACACCAGAGCTGGTATTGATGAAATTTGATGGACATTAGTTAAAATTTTTTTTTTATTTTATATAATTGATATTGCCACTTATAAATTAATTTTATTATAAAAAATTTTGTCAAATTTTTACTAACTTAATTAATTTTTATTTTTTAATTACACAATATTGGGAGTTATAAAAGCCTAAATTCAAAATTTTTTTAAAAATAATAAACTAATCAACTTTTTTTTATCTAAAAACCTTATTATAAAAAATTTATTGAAATTTTAGTTTAAAAAAAAATATGTTGAAATTAAAAATTGAGTTTATGAAAAATTAATTAAAATATTTTTTAAACAGAAATATATATATATATATATTGTTCAAAAATTTACTTGTTATATATTAAAAAAAGGCCATTCGGCAGCCGAAATGGAAGTAGATTTTTCAAATAAAGAAAATTGATTTTTAATAAAATAATATAATAACACTAACAATGGATTACTTAATTCATGAATTAAAAAATAAATTCAATAATGAATTGAAAACTATTTGGAACAAACTTTGGAAAAAAAATTATCTTGTGAAGAAAAAGTTTCTAAAATATTTACCAAAGAATTGCAAAGATTATAAGATTGTATTTATAAATGTCCAAATTTTAAGTAACTGCTTAGAAACAACAGTTTCCGAGTTAATCAGAATTTTGAAACCAGATAAAATTTTAATTGAAGAAAACAATGTTTAAAACTAATTTGTGACATATTTACTGACAACCTACTCGAAAACATTACACGAAAGACTGATCAATATCGTAATTATTGAATTTACATCATATGATTGTAAGCTATGATGCAACAGTAAAACTATTTCATTAAACGAACTCTAAAAGGAGTAATATTGAGGCTATTACCACTTCTGAGTAGTGAAAATTGAAGCTTATTAAAAGAGCTTTACGATGCATTTTACCGAATTTCAATATCTTGTCTAGTTCAATAATTATACCAAGTTGAAGTAGTAAAAACATCAATTTTTACGATTTTCAAAATTTCAAAATCCTGTCATTTCCAAATTACTCGCCCGATTAAGCTCATCTTCGAACTTAACCTTGGTCTTGATCGATAAATGAAGCATGTTGAGTTTGAGAAGAATCGGTTATAAATTGAAAACGTTATCGTGCTGACAAGCCGCGTTATATCGTATATATATAAACTTTTGAACTATATATATTTTCTGACTCAGCTCGACAAACTGAGTCAGAAAATGACAAAATTTTTTGAAAGTTGCACCATGAGGACGGCTGCAATAGTTAGATTTTTATAAAATCTACTAATAACATATTAATAAGATTTACTTAAAAATATAGAAAAAATAATAAAATTTCATGATTTTAATTTTTTTTTATTAATAAAATAAATTTTTTTAATTCAGGACCAGCTGAAAGCCTATTCCAAGAGTCTTATTTCGCGCTTATGAAGACAGCGTTAAAACCCGGAGGCCTTGTTTGCAGTCAAGCTGGAACAATTTGGTCCAACGACATGCAAGTTGAAAAAACATTGGGACACTGCAAGTCAGTTTTTCCAGCTGCATCCTATGCATGGACTTCAGTTCCGACTTATCCCACCGGACAAATTGGATTCGTGATGGGAAGTTTGGATCCCGTGAGTATTTTTTTTATTTTATTATTTACATCTTTACAAATTTTTTTATTAATAATTTAATAATTTTTAATTTAGAACACAAAATTCGGAGAACCAGTTAAAGTATTCTCAGAAAAAGAACTGGATGAAATGAAGCTTAAATATTACGATGACAAAATCCACAGGTCATCGTTTGTGCTTCCAAGATTTGCTGCCAAAGTAATTAAAAATTTAATAAATTAAATTAAGTTGAAGATTAATTAAAAATTTATTAGCTTTATTTTTTTTTATTGACAATTTTATAAGATATAATATAATATAATAATATATAATGATTAATAGTAAAATTTTTATAATAAAAATATATATAAGTAATAAAAAAATTAAAATTAAACGTTCCAGAATTAATTGTTTAATTATAAGACATCTGATAATTAAAAATTTTTTTTTAATTTTAAATAAATTATTAAAAAAAAAATTATTTTTTTATTTTCTGAATAATTAATTTATTTTAAAAATTAAAAAAATTATCAGATGTCTTTTTACTTTATAATGCTTAATCGTTTTATATTTATATTTATAGAATTTAAGGCTTATTTGGCTGTTGTATTACAAGTTATTAATAATTAATAATAAAATTGTTAAAAATATAATTGTGCTTGTAAATAAAATTTATTTGTTCATAATAGCTATATATTTAAATATTTTGACACAATGGCACTCTCAAATCTAAATTTTAAAGAAATAATTAGCTTAATTTAAGAAAAATAACAAAATTCAATTCCTGCGCATTTTATTTATAAAATTAAAATTTTCATTTTTTTTTTTTGGCAGCTTTTTTAAGAAAAATATTATTTGGTGAATATTTTGATTACTTTTATAAATATATTAAATTTTTTTTCGTAAAAAAAATATTCAATTGCACATTTGTCATTTTTTTTGAGCTGGTGTTTTAAAAAATGCTTTTGTAATTTTTTCAGTCAAAAAAAATTTTTTTTCCAAATAATTTAATTATAAATAAATTTACCGGTAAAAAAATGAGATTCTGCGAGGAGCAACAATTGCGAAGAAATTATTTATAATTTTAATTAATTAATTAAAAAGAAGAAATAGTTAGTAAAAGAAAAAATAGTTAATACAAGAGAAATAAGCAAATAAAAATAAAAATAAACCATGAAGCAATTAATCCTGCTGTTAATCATGGTTAGAAAATTAATATAAAATAAAATGATATGTTGCTTCTCTTGTTAATGTCTCGCGTTAACGAGCTTAAAAATATAAATAAAAGAAATTAATTATAAGTTAATTGCTGATTCAAAAAATCAATTAATATTAATAAAAAAATAAATGATTTTTATTTTTTAAATTCAAATTTTTCCCGCCTTTCTGCGCAAACACTTGCGCAGATTTTGAAAGTTTTCTTCTGAGTTTTATTGTTATAATTATAACAATGGCGGCTCGGAATCGGTAACGGTCGGTCGAAAATTTACGCGGTCAATTAATTAATTAATTAATATTGCATTAAATTATACGAATTTTTAATTGATGTTTCAGTAATTATTAATTTCTTCTTGATTATTTTAATAGTTAAAATTTAGTTTTTATCTAAAAGTTTAATTGACATTTATTTAATATTTAAATATATATATATATATATATAAATATATATATATATATATATATATATATATATATTTATACTTTTATATATTCATTTAATAAAATATACAATTAAAAGGCAATTTGTTACTAAAGGCTAGTTCCGAAAGCACGTCTATTTTTCAGAATCTAAGGACACTTGAATATCTAGAGCATCAAATGGTAAGTCTAAGGAAGTCCTTCAGGAGATTCAATCGCTGTCAAGAAAATTACATGTTAAAATAATGAAATGACTGATGGAATTATTTTTTAACTTAAGTTTGATAATTAATTTTAATTGATTTAATTCTAGGTGAAAATTATTCGGCAACTCATTGGAATTTCACTGGTAATGTATAACCTTAAATATTTATAAATTCTTTCTGCGCACTAGTCGCCATTTTGTCAATAGACGCCATTTTGCTTGTAGCGAAAAAAAATTTATCAGAAAATTTTTTTTAATCAAGTCAATTCCTGAGTCACAAAATTTTAGTTTAAAAAAAATAGTTTGTAAATTTTTTTTTATGATAGAATTTTTGGTCATTATTTATAAGTCAACCCCATTTTTGGCCATATCTAGGTGAAAAATTAACATTTTTTTATTTTTTTTATTTTGCTTGTTTTTATGGTGCATTTATAATAAAAAATGTCGTGAAAGAAAAAAAAATAAAGATTTCGATAGCTTTTTTGCCTTTAAAAGTTGGAAAAAAGTTTTTGGCTCATGTTTTTTGGATAAAATTTCATTTTTATCTTTGTTTGATGTTTTTTGATATATTTGAAAAGCACATAAAAAAAAGAACAATTAAAAAAAAAGTTATTTAAAATTTTTTTGAAAATTTGTTAAAATTATGATAATCAACTTTTTTTTTTTTAATTCTTCATTTTTTATGTATTTTTCAAAAAAACAATAAATCTATCAATAAAATCAAATAAAAATTTGGTTTAAAAAAATGAAAATTAAAATGATTGACTCCACTTGTAAATATTTACCGAATTTTTATAACCAATAAAATGTTATAAAAAAAAATTTCAAATAATTTTTACCTTTTGAATTTTTTTGCTAAATTTTTTTCACAATAAATTAATCATTAAAAAAATTTTTATAAGTCTGATAAAGTCAGTATAATTTTAAAATTAAAAAAATTATTGAAATAATTTTCAAGCTAATCAAATTTTTAAACTTCCCCATAAAATCACTAATCAAAATATCTTTCTGCAAAAAAATGCAATTAAAAAAAGTGCTCAAATTTTCCTAGACAATAATAGAACCTCCCAAAATTGTGCGTAAACTCTACCTTTAACCCTACTTATCATCAAACCTAAAAGACTTAGTACTAGACTCCTGATGCTTGGACATCTTCATCGTAACAGTTTTCTTCTCAATGATCTTCTGAGTCATAGAATGCTTAGTACTCTTATGTTCCACACTACCATTATCAAACCCTCCTCTAAAACTGGTCAAATCACTCCCGGAATTAAACTCTCTCTGCTCAACAGTTTCATAATTCTCATAGTTCTCATAATTAGTCTTCGGAGTGAACACTTTGGTAGTAGTCGTGTTTTCAATCTTCCCCCCCGGAAGAACCTTGCTCTCAATATTCTTAAAAGTTTGACTCTGCGCAATCGGTTGCTGGAATCTCATTCCGTCAGTTTGAGACTTGAAGGTGCTCATATGCCCGGAGTACCTTTCCGAATTGGGTTCATAGTACTCCGGAGACTTGCTGTAAAGCGGCTGCGGGGAAGTGTCAATGAACTTTCTGGTCAACATTGGAGACTTTGCCGTGGCAATTTGAGAGGTAGCTGGCGGATAGGGGCCCTCTAGTGGCAAAGATTCGTAGCTAAGAACATCGCGTTCCTGGTTGATCTTCCGCTCGATGGAGCTGTACTGAGCTGGTGAATCCGCAGAGGAGTTAATGGTCGAGTAGTCACTGTACTTCCCTCTAGAATCCAAAGAGCCATAGTGACTCTCCGGCAAGGATTTGTACGAGTCCTTCATCTTCCTCTCTAACGTCGACTGCGTGGAGTTGACCTTCTCGGGACTCACCAGGTTCTGCCTGTCGTTGATGATCTGGGTGATCTGATTCCCCCTGGAAGAGTCTCTTTCGTACCTCGAAGAGTAGCTCTCGTAGCCGCTTTGGTCCGCGTCGTTCTCAGTGTCAGAAAAGTCAGGTTTGTTCTTGTATTTCGCTTGACGAATCGCAGTGAGTCGACCGCGAGCTTCCTCGAGTTCCTTTTCAATCCTCAGAACTTCTGACCTTGCGTTTATCTCCTGAGCGATTCCTCCAACCATTCTTTTGTTCAAAACAAGTGACCTTTCTTCCTCTTGCTGGATCGCTTGTTGGGCAGCTCTTACTAGATTGTCGGTAGCGCGCTTCACTGCATTGCCGGCCGCTTGGAGGCGCTTGGTGCTTTCGCTGTCTGGGTCTGCTTTTACTTTACAGGCTACCAGCAATTGCGCTGTGCTACTAGCGACTTGCTTTGCACTGGAGATCAACTTTTCTTCGCTGCTCACGCCCTGAACTAAAGCGTTTGCGGATTCTACCAGGCTGTGGGTTGCAGCGGCTACTAAACGAGCCGCGGAGATTAAGCCTTCTGACCATTGTCCGTCGTCGGAAGATGTCAGAGGAGTTCGCGATACTTTTCCTGTTGTTATTAATTCTCGTTGCGCGGCGCTTGCGGCTTTTATTAGCGCTGATGTTGCAGCCGCGATTGATTTTGCGGCTTCCAGGATCATTTCGTCGAAGTTCATGTCCTCGCTGGTTTCCTGAAAATTTTTTAGAGTTTTGGTTAAAATTTATGCCAAGATACTACAGAACCTCGTTCATAAAAAAAAAAAAAAAACCGGGTAATTTTTCGAGGTTCTACTGTAATAATAATCTTACTTATTGATGATGAAAATTCTGACCACCTTATTAATATGTTTGATTCCTGGTCGATTTTTAATTAACAACCAAGAATATCAAACATATCTTAAGGTAATTCAGCCTCCAATTTCATTATTTATCTAAATTAATAAAACAAGTGAATATTAAATTACCTGGATACTTCTTCTAGGCCGTAGATTGGCCAATTTCTTAGCAGCAGCATCAATACTGGCTGCAGCTCCTAGAAGTTCATTTTCAGCAATGACAGTCGGATCGTCAGGATCAACCCAATCAGCTCCTTTAAGTAGTTCTGCGACAGCCACTAATTCAGTGACACTCTGCGCAATTTTCCTCGAAATAATCGGCAGCGCATGTTTAGCGTCGCCAGCTCTAGAAGCAATCTGCAAAATCGCTTGCAATAATTCGCGGTAATTCATAGCGACGTCATGACCTGCTTGAAGAGTTCGATCTCTAAGATCCGGAGTTTCAGCACACTGATAAGCGGCTGACTTGCAAATCACCAACATATCGCTGATAGATTTACGGCCCATGTTTGCAGCAGCTATTATGTCATCCTGCTTGCAGCTGTTGCCTGCAGCGACTGCTTTTGCGGTTGAAATTGTGATACTTTTGGTGCATCGGACCAAATCTTCCGGCGTAACATTGGGTCGTTGGAAGTCTGGAGTGTTCAGAGCCCGAATTTCCTGGCCAATTGCTTCAATAGTAGACTCCAGGGCTCGG